CAGCACCGTTTCAAAAGTACCGGTTTGGTACTGGTATCGAATAAAATCTAAACGATACCCATCCCTACCAAGGAGTGGCTATAACCTTGGATGATATAATCATAAAACCAGTATAATATAACTGATAGCTGGCAGTTATTCAAACCTGTACATAAGATGCAAGCCATCATGAAGAGCTGATATAAAGGTAACCACTTTAACCAAAAAAATGCTACTTGGACGGTTTTTATTATTATGTTTTAGGGTAAAAAACGAAAACTCAGCAAAGTTCTATAATCTCTGGGACACGGGTCAGTACTTAATGGCTTATTACCACTAATTCATTAGAATTTTAAGCAAAAAAAATCAGAAAAGGTGGATTGAAATTGCTATAAGATTAAAATAAATACACAGCTGGGAAAGCTGCAGCCAGTTCGGTGACAAATACGACAAATATTGAGCAGAGCACGGAGCAGCGGTGCAGCAGATGTGGGTCAGCAAGTAAACAAGGGAGGAGGCAAGGCTCTCGTGGACGACGATGCGCGCTCCCGATAATAAACCTCTGACGCCTTCATCCGGGAACTACTACGAACTCGCTCTCCAACATGGCGGCGTCAGGTGAGGTTTATGTGGGTGAGCGATCCGGGTTGGTTCGGGGGAGAATTTAAGAGGATTTTACTTCAATTCAACTTAACACGTGAAGTTTGATGGTTGTTTTTTCTTCGCTTTATCGCTCCGCGTCGTTGTCTCGTGTGTATAAAAGGGGTTCCCGGTTGTTTTGGGCTCGGTAAAGACGATACTGCCAGACATAGGCGAATGAACGGAGCAACGACTAGCATAAATATGAACGTTGTAACCTCCCGAGAACTTGTAGCATTTACCTCTGGGCACGGTTACTGCGGCTGCTGAAGTCCGCTTTTGACTTTAAGCGTTGTTGTGCGCAGTGGACGTGGTTGACAGGCTGTGAAATGTTCGGAACTGCGTGCAGAGCTGGCACATTGTATGACCGTAGCGGGTTTCGCCGTGGCGCTCAGAGCAAGATAAGCGCCGGGCGCAAGCGCGATGTGTGGAGGAGGGGTCGGGCCGAGGAGTCCGGGCTGCCCGAGGAGTCTCCCCACGTGTGCAAGCGTGGCTGCCTGGTGTCGGTGTTTGATGAAATGGGGCAGCTGAGCCTGTTTTGGCCGCATTCTAAACACTTCCCTAGCTCCTTCTCAACTTTAAGCTATCTTTTTTTTCCCCAGCCGGCCAAGTCCTGCGCGATTGATGGCGCACTTGGATCGTGGCGCTGCGACGCGAGCTAGGCCGTAAAACCTAGCCAGCTAAGCAGGGATACTTCCCCCGTCAGCAGTCCTTTGCTGACTAAGCCCGCATAGCCGCCAAGACAAAAGCGATCAGTGTATACGGCAAGCTAAAGACCCGTATAGTTACCCTAACAGTTTGACCGCGGGGTTGTAGTTTTAGAAGAAGACAGCTCCGCTGAAACTTAATGTTACGCAGCTCTTAGCTCACCAATGTCACATAAGTGAGGATCGCTGAGCAGGCTACCACAGCCAATATTTTTGCTTGCTGGTTTTGCAAAGTACAAGCGGTTATAGCCATTTCGATCAAACCTGACGGCCGTAAACAACAACTTAGTGTAATATTCTGGACCAGAGCTGTCTTTGTTGGTCTCTGCGTTTGTGTAGGTTTTGAAATAATGTGTGCAAAAGAATGTCCTGACAGCTGGGATTTTCACAATAAAGCTCCCAGCCAGCTTTCTCACCCCCTATTTTTTGTTTTTGTTTTTCCAAGTCAAAACCTGCATCATGAACTGTGTGCGAGCCCCCCTCCCCATCTCCCTTGGGGGCTGGTAACTGCTGGCACTGGGACACACTGTCAAGAATATTCTGTGGTCTGTGCATGATTCAGTCAGTCAAACCTCAAAAACCTGTTGCAGTAAGGTTGTTTTGAAATCGTTATGGTTCTCACCTGACTTGGAGCTAAACAGCCTTTTCTGGTCTGTTGCACAGTGACGGTTGGACAGGCTGACCACTCCCCATTCGTGTGTGTGCAGTTTTGGTTTTTTGTAGCAAAATAAGTATTTGTTATCACACGCACACTGGGGCCCACTCTTATCTTGCTTGGTTGTACATCATCTCGCTACTAAACCTTAAAAATAGCGTCACTATTTAAACAGCAGCTCTCATTTAAGGCAAAAACATTAGTAGTTTTTTTTTTAACTGTTGAGATGCTGCAGTTTCTGGTAGTTTAGTCTGCAGCTATTCCATATGTTACTTTGTTTGCAAGGGGCTTCCATAGAGAGACGTCCACAATGGGCAAGGTAACCATTACTTACGCTTGTGTTCTTCCCTACAGCTAAGAAGAAGAATAAGAAGGGGAAGACCCTCACTTTGACTGACTTTCTTGCGGAGGACAGTGGAGGCAGCAGCGTCGCCCCCAGCTATCCGACCAAGTCCACAAGCTGGGCGGATGAGACTGATGACCTGGACGGAGATGGTGAGCACACACTGAAATGCACACAGTGATCGGAATATCTTAGTATCGTTTCACAACAGTA